TTGTTTCTCCTCCCTCCCTTGGAACTTTACTTTTTAAAACACAATTTATTCAAGAATTCCTTTTTCCATCGGATGCATGCCTGTAATTCCAGCAACTTGGGAGACTGAGACAGGAGAATCACAAGTTTGAGGTCAACCTCAGCAACTTACGGAGACCTTGTCTCAAAATCAAAAAAAAWTTAAAAAGAGGGTATCCCAGTGGTGAAGTGCCTCTGGGTTAGATCCCCAGGTATTGGGGGGAAAATCAATTATAAAAAAATTTTTTAAAAAGWAATCTTTTCCCCACCCCCTCTCCCCCCAGTACTAGGGATCAAACCCAAGGCCTGTGCATGCCACTGAGCTACAGCCCACCCCTGGTCACAGCAGCTGTCCTTGCCAGGGTCCTACAACTAGCCCCTTGTGTTTCAGGGGGGCGCCTCACAAAATCAGAGGCCATGATGCTGTGCTGGGYCATGTCCACCACAGAAGACTTGTGGAGACCTCTCTGGCCTTTTCCACGAGTGGGCCTGTCGCACCCTCCGGCATAGAGCGCAGAGCAACGCTGAGGCTGAACTGTGGGCTGCGCTCAGCCAGAGCCTGAGCAGCCACGTTCTAGGCAAACATAGAGCCATGCTGATACCTTCACCCTTCCTTATGGACTCCTTAAAGAACCATGTTGCAGCCCTAACTCCTGGGACATCAGAATGTGGATTCATTAGGAAATAGGATCATTGCAGGTGTAGTTAAGTGAAAATGAGGTCATACAGGTGGGCTCTTAGCCCAATGGGACTGGTGTTCTCTTAAGAAAATGACCATGTGAGCCTGGGCATGTGCTCACACACAGCACACACAGAGACGCACAGCAATGCACAGACACAGGTGCACATATAGACACAGGGACACCTGCACACAAACGTACATAGTCACAGACACACACAGAGACAGATGCAAACACAAAAACAGCAACACATAGACACAAACACTTACACAGGCACAGGCAAACACAGAGACACAGAGACACATGACAACGTAGAGACAAAAACTAAGAGGCACATAGATGCAGACACACAGAGGCAAACAGAGACACACACAGAGATGCACAGACACACAGACACACACATGAAGGCCGATCAGGAACTGGAGGGATGCCCTGTGAGTCCGGGAGGTGGACAGCCTGGCTGGAGCCCTCAGCAGGACAACTCTGCCAGCACCTGACCTTAGACAGCCCAGCTCCAGAGCTGGGTGAGAAGCAGCTTCTCTTCCAGCCACCCAGGGTGGGGTGCGCTGTCATGTGGCCCTTACACCCTCTGGAAAGGGGGACTGTTGTTCGGGCATCATTGCCATGGGTTCTTTCAAAGTCCAACAGCAGGTGAGCGTCTCTGGGGCTGCCCATGCAGTCATGCCTCCAGGAACCTCCTGCTCTATCCAGTGGCTGGGGGGCCACATGCTCCACAGTGCCCACTGCTCAGCTTGGGGTGTGTGTGTGTGTGTGTGTGTGTGTGTGTGTGTGTGTGCAAACTCTACTGTTCCTTAGGAGTTTAAATTCATCAGAAAAGAAGAGCAGTGCACCCTGGTCTCCTTCCGCCATGGGCACAGTCAACTTTGGCAGAGGAGGGTCAGGTGGCTGGGGCACAGGGAGAGGGCACAATCTGTACCCTGGTCCCCCAGGCAACTGCCCCAGGGAAGCCACCGAGCACCCTGCCCAGAAGTCCTCCAGACAGAACCAGCTCTTCCCTTGTCACCCAGGCTGATTTCAAAGTCCTGCATGCAAGTGATGTCCTGCCTCAGCCTCCCGAGTTGATCAGACTAGAGGCACATGCCACAGCACTGGGGACAGTGCCCTGGTGGGCGCAGCGACAACCACCACTAGCTGTGGAAGAAAGAAGTCTTTTGTGAGCCCACACCTTTATAAACAGGGAGCTGTGTGGGGGCCGCTGCTCCACCCAGCTGGCCCAACCCAGCTTGTGGGCTTCCGGTGGCCTCCTCCCACCCAGATTCCCGGCTGGGTCCTCCCGCTCCTCACCTGCTCACCTGGGCCCTCCTTCTTAGCCCTCAGGCATCATTTTCTGATCTCCAGGCAACACTGTTCTCTTTCTGCTCAAAATTTTAGATAGGGCCTAGTTAAAAGATCATCTCAGAACTGCAGGATCAAGCATGTGTTAAGGTTTTCCAGGAATAAGGTGATCTAACACACTGAARTTCTCCAATCCAGAATCCACTCCACCTCCAAGGTGCCCCAGGCTTGCAGAAAAGAAAAAGAAACAGAGAGCTAGGAAAGGGGAGCCGCTTGTGAAGACTGAAGCTGGGCACCAGCTCCCCAACCAGGTGCTGCTGGTCAGACCCCAGCGAGGGGATGCCAGTGGGGAGCCAGGGTGGACCTCCATGGGGTGGCACTTAGGAAGGAGGGAGCTGAAAAGGCCTGACCAGGGAGGGACAGCAGGGACAGGTTTTCCTTTATTAGCTCCGTCCTCCTTTCCTTTCTCTCCCTTTCTAAGGCAAGGCATTAATTCTGAACCTAGAATTATCCACTAAGTTCAGAATTTATCTCCCTCCAGAGTCACAGGTGACCACCTTGTGGACTTTCATGCCCACCCCACTGCCTGAAGGTTGAACCCAGGGCCCTGCATATGTTAGGTGCCCTGCCCCTGGACTCCATCCCAGTGCTGTCCAGTGGGTTTTCTGACTTGAATGGCAAGTAGACGCACATGATGGATTAGAAACAATCCAACCCTAAACTCAGCACAATGATGCTCGCCTGTAATCCTGAGGTCTGGGGAGGCTGAGGCAGGAGGATCACAAGTTCAAGGCCAGCCTGAGCAACTTAGTAAGACCCTGTCTCAAAATAAAAAGAACTGGGGATGCAGCTCAGTGGTAGAGCATCCCTGGGTTCAATCCCCAGTGCCAAATTAACAAATAACAACAAAGACAGAAAAAGGAAACTTAGTCAACAGTGGCATAAGCTCCTATGGACATGGGTCTGCATTCATATTATTCAGGAAAATAACAAGCAAACATTTTAATTTAGAGGGAAACACCTGAAGCAACCACAGCAAACCCTGACACCGTGGAACTTTGGAATACAGGGGTATGCTGTGGGGTGCGTTTGGTGAGCTCCTCAAGGGCGGGACGCCGCAGGATGAACAAATCACCAGGGAACAAGAAGAGGTGGCAAGGACATTACTACTGAGGGGATGTGGGCAGGGATGGAGCTCTGTGGTAGAGCACCTGCTAGCATATGCAAGGCCCTGGGTCCATCCCCAACCCCACAACAGAAAGGAAAGAAATAAACAAACAAAAAGYTAAGGCTCTCAATATGCAATTCAACCAATTGCAACGAGTGGGCCTTATCTGAATCATGGTTYAATTGTATGCAATAAAAAAATAAGACTTTCGTAAGCACTTGGAGATGTGAACACCTGGATGTACACAAACAACTTCATAAACAACGGGGTTCTGCCCCGACACCCAACGATATTAAGGAATTGATGTCAGTATTTGGAGGTGTGATGGTGGTACTGTGGCTTTGGGATTTTTTTCAAAGATGTTTGTTATTGGGTGCAATGGTGCCCACCTGTAATCCCAGCCACTCTGGAGACAGAGGCAGGAAGATCACAAGTTCCAGGCCAGCCTCTGCAACTTAGTGAGACCCTGTCCCAAAATAAAAAATAAAAAGGAGTGGGAGTGTAGCCAAGTGGTAAAGTACCTTGACTTCAGTCCCTAGAATTTCGGGGGGGGAGGGGGATAGAAAAAGTACTTATTAGAAGAATATGTAGTGAAAGGTTTGTGGAGACAATTGTATAATGTTGGAATTCGCTCATGAAGATATAGGAGGGAGAAGTGGCCAGATGCCGCAGTCCGGCTGCAGCAAAATAACTGGGGGGCGACRAGCAACTTGTGTAGATTGATACAGCAGGAGAGGGAGCCATTTATTGTAGGAAAGGAAGGGTATATATACATTCCACACAGCTTATCTTAATTAACATAAACTAGATACAGCAGTCAACCAATAAGGAATCTCCACACTTAATGGCTCGTTGGCGTTACTTCATAAACCACTCCCTCTGGCAAAATGCCAGGCGCCATCTTGACTTGTTTACAGACCCTAACAGCCAGAGGTCATCAGTGGCTACTAGAGTTGACCATTGGTGCAGCTGGGTGATGTGTACCTGGATGGGGGAGTCTTCTTTCTAATTCTGAACTTGTTTGAAACTGTCATGAGCTAAAACAATAAARTGAAGTGTACCAAACCTGRCAGTGCTACCTGGCGGTGCTTAAGAGGTATGTCCATGTCGTCCATCCTTCCTTCCTTTTCTTCCTTCCTCTCTTCCTTTCTTTCTCCACACTAGGGATCAAACCCAGGGCCTGTGCATGCTGACAATGCTTTACCCTGAGCTTCATACCCAGCCTCTATGTTTTATTTTGAGGCAGGGTCTTGCTAAGTTGCCCAGGCTGTCCTCAAACTTGGCAACCTTCTGCCTCAGCCTCCCAAGTAGCTCAGAGTACAGGCACGTGCCACCACGCCCAGCTGCTTCAAGATGTTCGAGAAAAAAATGTAAATTCTTTCCGAAGACATGTACAGTGTCCAACTTACAGTGTTTCRACTTACAGTTTTTCAGCTTTATGACAGTGAGAAAGCAAATTATTGGGTAGAAACAATGGCTCCGATGTTTAGCAGGTCGTAACCTCATCGGAAGCTGGGCGACTTCTATACCTTCTCCAGAAACCTCACTGTTTCTGGGTAGCATTGCCATGAGTAAGAGTTCACAGCCCCTGCATGATTCTGTAACACACGTGGGTCATTTAGGAAATACTGTTTCCTTCAGTTATGCAGATCTTCCATATCCTGAAACATATCATCATTTAAATCTCAAAGTCACATTCATTAATATCCCCCTCAGTTTCATCACAAGTCTTTAATTACAATGTATCTACTTGCAATTCTTTCAATGAAAATGACAGTCATAAAAGCTCAAGTGTTTTAGTGCACAGCCCAATCTAATGCTCCTTCTCCTGTCCTGCAGGYGTAAGGCAGTCGGACCGATCACCTACCTCCCACTTGTCACGCAGAATACCGAGGATCAGGACTGAACAAGGTGGAGGATTCCCACTGCTCACCAAGGGCACCCTTAAGTGGAACCAACTTGTTTTCTTTTTATTTAAGGGGGAGTTTTTGGTGAAATTGCCTTGATTTGTGTGGAGGCACCAATGTTAAAACACAAATGACATTGTACAAATTTCCACTTGGTGAAAAGCAAAACAAAACAAAACAAATGCCATTGCTGTAGGCCTACCACCGTAGACTTACTGGTAAGTCAGGTCTGGGAGGAGGGAAAGAAGAGTGAAAGATGCTCAGGCCTGGCCTGAGCACCACAGAGGTGGGGCCTCCTTCCTGTGATGGGAAAGATCGATTCAGACTTTCAGCTTGGGAAGGTTGAGTCTAAGATAGCTACATATGCTGGGTGCAGCTCAGGAGGCTGAGGCCAGAGGACAGCAAGTTCAASGCCAAGTTCAAGGCCAAGTTCAAGGCCAAGACAGCAAGTTCAAGCAGGTCAGCCAGATCCTGTCTCAAAATAAAAAATAAAAAGGGCCAGGGTTGTGGCTGAGTGGTAACTCCAGGGGGTTTGATCCCCAGTACCAATATAAATAAATTAATTAAATTAAAAAAGAAAAGAAAAAGCACAAGGAAACACTCCAACCCTGGTACAGGCAATGCTTTTTGGATTTGCTCTCAAAGCACAGGAGACAAAGGCAAAAATAGACAAATGAGATTGCATCAAAGCAAAAACCTAGCTGGGCACAATGGCTCATACCTGTAATTCCAGCGGCTTGGGAGGCTGAGGCARGAGGATCATGAGTTCAAAGCTAGGCTCAGCAACAGCGAAGCACTAAGCAACTCAGTGAGACCCTGTCTCTAAATAAAATGCAAAAGAGGGCTGGGATGTGGCTCACTGGACGAGTGCCTCTGAGTTCAATCCGTGGTACCTACCCTTTCCCCCAAATAAGCAAAAGCCTTCTCCCAGCCCAGTGGGCCTTACTTGTTATCCCAGGAGGCTGAGGCAGGAGGACAGAAAGCTCAAGGTCACATCAGCAACTCAGTGAGAGCTTATCACAAAATAAAAAAAGAAAAGGGTTGGGGGTGTAGCCTCGTTGTAGAGTGCCTCGGCATTCAGTCCCCAGTACCTAAAATAAGTAAATAAATAAATAAATAAAACATTTAAACATCCTTCAAGAGAGGAGTGGCTAAGTGTCTGTACAGATGCAGCCCTGGGAAGAAGGGTCAGTGAGTCCTGGTGAGGACACAGGTCTGAGAATACGGTCCTTGAGAAGAGAGTCCCAGCATGCTACGGAGAGCGAGATCCCATCACATAACAAGGACAAGCCAGGCCCGTGTGCACACAGAAAAGGCTCCAGAGGGCTTCACGCCATCCGGGAGTGACAGGGCAGGCCCAGGCCCTTGTCTGTCCTCTTCTGAGTGGACACTGTACAGCAATTGGGTGTTTTCGTAATAGTACAACATTGATTAGTGTTTTTAAGTGTTGAAGCTGATCTGCAGGGGGGAGCTCTCTGCAGTCAGGGAAATGCAGTCTTCCTAAGAGACCCGGAGCTTGAGGCACCCTCCTGGTGCCTGCTCAGAGCCCGTGGGTCATTCAGGTGCCCAAAGCCAGGACAGAAAGCTGCTGCTGGGCCAGGCTGGTCCCCTGCATGGCCACACAAGCTCCTGTCGGGAAACCCCAGCCATAGGACGCATGTGTTGCAGAAGAAAATGAGGTAGGGAAAGTGGAAGAAAAAGGGGGTGAGGGGGGAATGTGAGCACTGGGACCAGGGAAAGAAAGACACTGACAGAAGACCTAGGACAAGTACAGGGGGACTTCCCAGCACCACACGCAAAAATAAAGAAGCTGGGCAGAAATATGCTCTATTCACCCCACCGGTACACAGCTGAGGACAGGTAAAACTGAGCTTCACTGTTGGGGCTGCCCAAGTCAGTGGGGAAACGAGGAGGAAAGCAAGGAAATAATCAGAGTAAGAGTCAGGTGCCATAGACAGTAGCACACGCTTGTCATCCCAGCTTCTCTGGAGGCTGAGGCAGGAGGATCCCACGTTTGAGGCAAGGCTAGGCAACTTAGTGAGGACCTATCTCAAAATAAAATAAAAAGGACTAGGTGTGGAGCTCAGTGATAGAGCATCCCTGGGCTCAATCCCCAGTAACTCACTCTCTCTCTCTCTCTCTCTCTCTCTCTCACACACACACACACACACACACACACACACTCACTCCAGGGAGTGGCTGCTCTTAGGGGTGGTGAAAGGCGTCCAGATCAGAAAGGGGTGGTGGGACTTCTGACAAAGCTCTGTTTCCTTGCCTGAGTCAGTTCCCTTCCCTTCTCTTTCCATTTTTCCCTTGTTATCTATCTATCTATCTATCTATCTATCTATCTATCTATCTACCTATTTTTAGTGCTGGGGACTAAACCCAGGAGACTCTACCTCTGAGCTACACCCTCAACCCTTTTATTTTTATTTTTTATTTTGACTCAGTCCAGCTAAGTGGCTGAGGCTGGCCTTGAACTCTTGATGCTCCTGCCTCAGCTTCCAGATTCACTGTGGTCACAGGTGTGCCACAGTGGTTCCCTTTTCAGGAACTCTGTTATGTTCAGGCAGACATTCATGTTTCGTGCATTTTTCTGTTTACTGACATATTTCATGATAAAAAGATTATTTTAAAAAAGTACCTTTGGAATGGCTTTGGCAATAGATATGGGCTCAGCCAGCGATCTAAGATCTCGTCTCAGAAAATAGATTCTCAACAACAAGAGCAACGAGCAGTGTGTGACGTGCACCTGGACCCTGTCCCTCGAGCAGTGTGAGGGAGGGGTTTGCTCTGAGCACAGATGTGAGGAGGCTGGTGCCCTCAGATCAGTGACACGCAGTGAACCCTGCCCTCCGGTGCCCACAGCTTCAGAGCCTCACGCCCGGCGGCTGTGACCTCTGGGCTTCTCCTTCTGGAAGCCTTGGTCTGGGGAATGTCAGCCTGGACCGCTGTCCTGGGTCCCCAGCACTCCTCCTTTCCTCYGTCCGTCCTAACAGAGCTTTTCCTTTTGTTAAGCTGACAGAAGCCATAATTGAACCCCCTGACAAGAGCTGGACTGCACTTTTCTCTCTTTTCCATTTCTGCAATCTACAATGAACCTTCCAAGTTCATTACCGCAGATGGTCCTGGTCAGGACCCAGGGCCAGTGGCAGTAGCTTATTATCCAGCCTCCAGGTCGGTGAGAGCTGGCGGGCGGCCRCGGTCATTCTGAGGCAGTCATGTCCAATTAGAAGCCACATTAGGCACTTTCCTCTGGAGCCCTATTAACAAATTAGTCCTACCACAGACTGAGAGGGACTGGATGGGACCAAATACCTTCTGATCACTGGGCAATTTGAAGAAGAAACAGTGCAGAACACTGGAGAATGTGTGTGTGTGTGTGTGTGTGTGTGTGTGTGTGTGTGTGTGTGTGAAGTAGGAGTGGTGGGTGGACAGGGAGGAAGATTGACCCCCAAATGCCCAGGCCACCCAGGAAAGAAAGCTTCCCATCCCTGAGCAAGGCCTGCTATTGGGTTAAAGTGGCGGGGGGTGGACAAGGGTGGACAAGCTTCTGTGGTCAGCGTTTTGCCCCTGCTATTCTTGCTTGACTGGAGGGGCTGTTGCACATGCCTTCTGCTGGGTCGTGTGTTCTTTTGAATTTTTTGCAATTTTTAGTTCCAAGGAGTTTGTGGGGAGAGGGCTGGGGAAACCAGTGCCTCATATACCTACTGTGATCACATCATCTTAATTCTCTATTTTAAACCTATGCTGGGTTTTCAAAATCTCGACTGTGAATGGCTTGCTCAAAGGTAAGTATTAATTAGACCTCCGGGATTTTTTAAATTCCAAAGTCTAAAGTACAAATATGTTCTTGTTGCTAAGGAAACAACTGCGTTCAAACTACCATTGCAAATTGAAGTTGCAATCTTAGGTTCCTTTGCAATAGAGCCAAAGACTGGGGCAAATCCTCTAAAAAGTAGAGAGAAAAAGGAAGATGGGGAAAAGATGGCTATGGGTGAGCATACCATTCCCCTTTCTGATCTATACCTGAAGAGCTAAGACACCTAGAAACAAGACTCTACAGACAATCCGTGCCGTCTTCCATGATGGCATTAACCTGGAATTCCCCATTTGGAAAACTCTTGGAGGTTTTCTGCCAACTCCCTTTAAGAGCAGGAATGTACTTTTTATTCACTATGGATCCCACATATACAAACAAAAAATTATAATACCTTATGAGCAACTTCATGCCAATCTATCCAGCAACCTTTAAAAACACAGTTTGTCAAAACTGACACAAGGAGAAATAGAAAACCTAGACAGCCTCATATAAACTAAGTACATTAAATTTATAATCAAACTCTTACAAGTACACACACACTAAACCTCCAGCTCCAAAGGGCTTATTGGTGAATTCTACGAAACATTAAAGAGAGAGAGAAGCCGGGCACAGTGGCACATAGGTATAATTCCAGCAATTAGCAGTATGAGAAAGGAGGTTGGGAAATTGGAGGCCAGTCTCAGCAACTTGGACCAACCCTGCCTCAAAATAGAAATAAAAAGGGCTGGGGAAGTAGCTCAGTGGTACAGAGTCCCTGGGGTTCAATCCCAGTGAGAGAGAGAGAGAGGAGAAAGAAAGAGAAATAACACCAGTCCTATACAGACTCTTTCAGGAAAACAAAGGAAGAAAAACAATTTCCACCGAGTCTAACATAACAACCCCAATAACAAAATCTCAATAGATGCAGAAAAAGCATTTGACAATATTTAACACCTTCTCATCATCTAAGCTCTCAGCAAATTAAGGGTAAATCCCCCCCACCCACCCATTGAGGGCAATGATAGAAGCTTATACCTAGTATTATGTATAATGGTGACATGTGGAACCACTTCTCAGTGAATTAGGGAACAAGCCAAAGGTATTGGCTCTTACCAGTTTTATTCAAAATTAGGGCATGAAAAAGAAATAAAGAGCACAAGGGTTGGAAATGAAGCACTGAAACTCAAATGTGCAGACAACTTGATTTTGTATGTAAAAAGATCTTCTGGAATCCACAAAATAACTCCCAGCTTGTAGTCGATTGCAAGATACAGGGTCGAGCAGTCATGATGGTGCACGCCTGTAATCCCAGCTACTTGGGGAGGGAAAATTGTGAGTTCAAGGCCAACCTGGGCAAATTTGCAAGACCCTGTCTCAAGAATACAGCAAGCAAAATGAAGCAAACGGAATGGAGAATCCAGAGACAAACCACCGTATACATTCAGCTGGTTTTCTACCAAAGTGTCTTGTCAATTCCATGGAGAAAGAAAAGCCTTTTAAGCAATTGGGATAAAAMAACTGCAAATCTTTTAAGGAAAAAAAAAGTAACCCCAACTCAATCTTACTCCACACGTAAGTTCGGTTTGAGAGGAGTCACAGACCATCCATGAAAGTCAAAACCATCAAGCTTCCAAAGGAAAATGATCCTGAAGTTAGCAAAGATTCATAGGACAGGAGACAAGAAACACTGAACCATTAAAAAGAAATAAATRGCTGGGCGCAGTGGCCCACACCTGTCATCCCACTGGGTCAGGAGGCTAGAGCAAGAGGATCCCAAGTTCAAAGCCAGCCTCAGCAATTTAAAAGCCCTAAAGCAACTCAGTAGAGACCCTGTATCTAAATAAAATATT